GTTTTCTCAACATAACGTTCTTTGGAGCAACATGGGGGTTCTTGACTTTCTACGCAAGTTCGAGTTGTAAGTTTCCTCGCTTGGCTTCCGTGACAAGGAATGGATATGTGTTCATGGACGGGTTTTCTGCCAGCACTTGCTCATTCATGAAGTACTGGTGCGCAGCAGCAAGACACGACTTTTCTAAGGATTACACTTTTTTAGATGATGCTGCCCAAGAGCTCTGAGCTCTCTGCGGGGGGTAAATAAGCCATGTGGATTAGCGCGATAGGAATTGGGTGTGTACTAGTGCTAGAAAAAAAAAAAGGGAAAAGGTACAGCAAATGCAGCAACCCTATAGCTACGCCTCCATCAAACCCAACCCGCACTCCGAATCTCATGTCTCGGGCCTTGATTCCCTCCCGGTCGAGCTTGCCCGCCGCATCTTGCTGAACCTCTACCCCGCGGACCTCTTGCGTCTAGCGGGCGTCAGCAGGGCTATACGGCGGCTGTACGTTCCTGCTGACACCGAAGTGCAGTTTGCGGTGAATCACTTTGTGGCGCTTGTTCCGAAGCTGCTGGACTTTAGCGATGGTTATAATGGTACCCACAACAACATGAAAGATGTCGGCAATGTCCGCAACGACGAAAGTGAGAGCGACGACAGCGACATAGACAATATCAGCGAGGGTACCGATGCTGGCGGTAGTGACGACGATAATGTCATCGAGGATGGCCACGCCGGCGGCGAAGATATCGACGGCAACATCAACAACAGCCTTAGCAATATCGACGACGGCAGGCCGCATTTTGACGTATCCGGTGGCAGCAACAACGGCGATTCCGAATCAAACGACAGCGGGGATCCTAGCGAACACTATTGGTCCGAGGAGAACAGTTACGAAGCCTCTTTTGATCCCGAGAAGGAGGAGCTCCTGAACGCCATCACCGTCATCCAAAGACAGGCAAAGAGGTTTCAGCGTCTTCCGCTCTGCTATGCCCTGGCGGTCCTCAAGGAGGGAAGCTTCGAGGAATATTGTATCTACGCCATCACACGCACTGATAAAGGACAGTTTTGGGAATTGAAAGGGAAGGAGAAGCGGCGACAGATGGCGTTTCTCCGGCGAGTACTGGTTACTGCGGTGTGTGAACTAGGGATGGGCTTTGAAGAGGCTGAGTACGAGTGGGAGGGAAGGTGGTTTCGGAGGAAGGAAGCGTACTATGAGGTTCGGATGTGCATAGGGATGACGGGGTCGATCAAGGCTGCGCGGTACGTCATCAAGAAGGAGAACAACAGCGTCACCATGCTTCCTCCTGGCCGCGCCGGGAAACATAAACGGCCATGGCAGAGAAGAAGCACCCTCAAGGGTGACGGGGATCCAACCGACGTTTCGGAAACTATCCAGGAATTGGCGCGCACGGCATGTCATTATGGCACTGTGCCGCTGCTGCCGTTCCTTTTTGAAACCTATCCTACGAGCTTCATGAACTTATCCACCTTCTACGCGGAGAACTACTTGCATTCGGCCTTTAGTTGCCGTCATGAGGAAATGATGAGGATGTTAGTGGATTACATGAATCGAATTCCTAACGGCAAAGAACCCTTCGCCGCTGATCCCACGCCAAAGTACAACCCTTTACTCTCAAAGACGCGTGGTATCATAGAGGTTTCTCTCCTCCAGGCTGCCACCTCTGACGGCGACGCGCCGATGGTTCGCCTCCTGCTTGAGCTCGGTGCAGATCCCAATTTTGTTGCCACGGGCGTCCGGTACTTACATGGAAATGGCGACGGCCACGACATAGAAGAAAGTATCGGGCCCTGTGACGACGACCCCGCGCTCCATATCGCCTGCAACAATCGAAACCTGGAGCTCATTCCACTGCTGATCGCGCACGGCGCCGATCCGCTGACACTCAGCAATGCAGGGTTAACCCCTCTGTTGTCGTGCCGGGACGCTGGTGCGGCCTCAGCGCTCTTGAGCGCGGTCGAACAGCACGCGCCGCACGCTATGCAGGATCTCCTGGCGGCGCAAGACCCTTTCAAAGATAACGCGCTGCACAGAGCCATCGAGGACAAGAAGGTCGAACTCGTCAGATTCCTCCTCGAGGCCATCCAGAAGGCGGACAGAACCGAGAACGGCTTGGCAATGAAGAAAACCGTGTTCGGCACCAAGGGCAAATTGAAGCTGACAGTCCTCCTTATGGCCTGCAGCCTGGACGATAGCGACGCCTTGATGGTGCTGAACGTCATGATGGAGGGTGTTGAGCGCGACACCAGCGCTTTTGAAGAGATGAGGAGGTTGCTTCTGATCGACGACGGTGAGGGGTTCACGCCTGTGCATGCCGCGGCAAAGTTTGCCCATGAGGCGACGCTGCGCAAGATTGTAAAAGTGCTGTCGGCCGTCGACGACGGCATGTGCAAGAAGGTACTGGGAATGAAGGGTGGCGTTGAGAGGCAAACCCCGTTGCGCTTCGCGGCGAATAATCGAAGGGAGAATTCGGCGTGCGTCAAGATGCTGGTGGAGCATGAGGCGCTCTTGTTTTTTGGAGACACCGTTGATGGTTGCGAAGCATAAAACGCGTTTTGAGCTGGTACTTGTACGGCAAGGAGGTAAGCCCGGAGAAGGCTTTGGCCGAGAAGGCGTCGTCTGTGACGCGTAGGAAGATACGGAATTTGAAACGAAATAAATATTGGCATCGCGCCTCTTTCTTTCGGACGCCTTGAATAACACGACGACATTTAAAGACTCAATCGAAGCTTCTTGAGTAGGTCGAGCGATTACTATAATTACCAGCTGCGCGTATGCACACTTCCGTCAAGCGAATCGTTTCTCGAGCTTATGAGAAGGATCTCTCAAAATTTGGTTTTGTTCCTATGTGACTTTATTATACAATGATAGAGCCCGTTATATAATTTCGTATGTACGAATTCTTGCTCGCGGTCTCAGCTCGATCTCGGAGGAATATTCCAAGTACATAGAAGCGAATCAAAGCAACACTCAAATCTGGTCGGGGAGTCAGACCAGGGGGGTGCTAAAAAATCTTCTTTACAATATTTTAAGCACCCACAACTTGCCAGCACCAAAACGGAAGTGTTGGCATCCTCGAGACGAAAGCCAGTGACCTTAAGAAATAACACTTTGTTACATCGTGGTTACTTTCAGGAACAGGATATACAAGTTTTAGCGATAACATACAGAAACAAGCGATAAAGGAAGCCTTCTTAGCTCATCTGGGAGAGCGTAGCACTGAAGTCTTCCGTGTGGTTCCAACGCGTTGGATGGTGGTATGCTAAGGTAGCGTGTTCGATCCACGCAGAAGGCAAGAACGTCGCGAACGATGCGTTTGTATCTTCCTGATGTCGATACAAAAGCTGCAGTGATGTCGACTTAACTTTTTTTCGTTCGTGGCTTCATAACTTGGCTAATGGTTATGATTTTTACTTTTTTGTGCTTCCAGGTGTATACACAGCGCTAAGACTTCCTATCCAGCAAGCCGCTTGCTGGAATATGCTGAGAATTACGCTCGCGAGTTGTGTGTCGTCAACGTTAAGTTGGAGTGCGATAACAAGATTCAAATATGTACTCACTACTTATTACGTGAAGATCCGGAGAGAAGCTAAAGGCAACCTTCTAACGCGCACCCATCCGCCCGCGTCTTGGCTGGTAAGCTGGAGCAAGGGCTTAAATCGTTTCTGAAAGTGTCGGAAAAGCTGAAGAGCTGAAGACGAAAATCGCAAAAAAAAGAATTTTTGAATTGTGCTCGCCATCTTGCGACCTGACCAGCGGGCGACCTGACCAGCGGCCTGCCCGAGGATGTTCGAGCTGGTGACCCTCAACGACCACGTTCGGGTGCATCCTCGCGACTTTGGGAAAACAAGGCCCGTGGCTGTCACAGATGAGCTCAACGTAAAGTACGCCAACAAGGTGGGGGGCGGCATCTCTTTGCGAAGACGGACTCTGTCGTTTTGTTCGCTGCGGGAATCGGGTGATTTTCTCCCCATCCTTGTGGCTATCTTTTTCGGATTCTGACGGAATGCAATCCATATAGGTGAAGCACGACGTTGGTCTTTGCATCTGCGTGTTTGACATTCTCAGCCTGGGCGATGGCATCGTTCATTCCGTCCGGGATGGGGCTTACATGATCGCAGGTAAGCTGGATGGATCATTTCCTTGGCTACTCTGGATCCTCATTTGTTGTCGGGGATTCTCTTGCTCTGGCTAACTTCGAGCTCTATCCAGTCGAGTTTCGGCTTGTGGTGTTTCGGCCTTTTATAGGTGAGATCCTCATCGGAAAAGTGTCGAGTATGTCTCCGGATGGATTGAAAGGTGAGGAGACTTTCTGCTTTTTCCTCCGACGCGCACAATCATTCTCATCCGTGTTCAAAGTCTCCCTCGATTTCTTCGACGACATCATCGTGCCGCCCCAGCTCATGATTGAGGGATGCGAGTACTCCACGGACAGCGGGCTCTGGGTGTGGAGATACGTGGATGAGGACGACGGGTCGGAGCGGTTGCTTGAGATTGAAAAGAACGATCGGGTTCGCGTGCGAGTCGAAGGGGAGACCTTTGTTGAAGCGGAAACTGCTGGGCCGAAAAATCCCGTTGGCGCACCGCAGGGGGTTGACGAAGTCACCGTGCCGCCTTTCTCGTTGACGGTAGGCGGGGTTTTTGGTTTTTGCTTCATGTTTGCCGTTGCTAAACTTTCTGTCTGCAGTGCTCGATGATGGAACAAGGATTCGGTGTTATTGCTTGGTGGGAATAGCCAAGCCGGATTTTATCTTTGGCATTTCAGCTGCCATCCCTTTCGATTTCGCATAGACATAACTTATCGCCCTTTTTACTTCAACTGATTCGACGCCACCCACAATACCTATATATACACGAACATCGTCAACCCCTCGAAAAAGAGGCCTTTAAAGGGCCTTACTGGGCCCGTTCTCGTTCCCCGACCCGCTTATTCACAGCCGTTGCCGACGTGACCTTCCCCCCTTTCTGCGCTGTCATGTTCTGCAACCCGAATCTCAAGTCAGCAACATCCTTCTCCCCACCGATACCCAACCTCATTACACCGCCCACCTCCAGTTCCTCTCCACCTTCCTCTCCCGCCTCTCCCCCCACGACCTCGGACTTTCTTCCTCCTCTTGCGCCGGCCGAACCTTTTGGCCTCGTCGACGAGGCGGTACCGGCAGCCATAGCAGCCGCATCCGCATCTAAGAGCGCCCGGGCGTCCCGCTCGCTCTCGCCCACATCTTCCAAGAGATCGCATAGGCGCGAAACGGAGGCCGTAACGAGGGCCGAAACGTCGGCCGCAAAGACGCGGCGGTACTGGATTTCGGCGAGCTTGCGTTCCTTTGACCATTGATTGGAGGAGTCGGGCTGCGGAGACGTTGAGGGATCATGATTAATAAACTGGCCCGTAGCCGATTGGAAACGCTTTTCCTTTTGTCTTTGAAAAGAAACTTACCTTTGGTGGGCGGGTACGAGTGATCTTTGCCAGCACTGGTCGCTGCGGAGTATCCTCTGCGTCTACATGAAGTCATCAGGGTTAGTGGGAACTCCAGTATGCGCAAAGAAACTAAAGATACCTGCTGCCGCATCCCCTTTCTTGCCGCCTTTCCCAGCTGGTCCTTTGGCAGGGGGTGCCTTTCCTTTTGCGTCTTTCCCAGGGGCCTTTTTTTAAAAAAACAATTAATTCGAGCTTGAGGCCTAAACTGGAAGCAAAAGAAGACCTACCCCAGGAGCCCCGCCTTTCTTGCCCTTGTCATCTGCAGCTTGCGCAACTTGCGGGGTAGTTGCTTTCCGCAACGCATCTTTATGGAAAAAGCATGTCAGCAGAGATAAGCGGATAGCAGCCGACTTCAAAGGAAGCCTACCGTCATCGAGATCAACCTTATTGTCGTCTTCGCGGAAGAATTGAGTAGCAGAACGCTGCAATATGTCAGTTCTGATGGGCAATGGGTATTACCACGAGCGGAAGACTGAGCTTCTTTCGAATTGTCTCGGAGGTATCAGCGACGCGGTCTGCGAGGTCGACGAGAGTGTCATAGCTGTTATGCAAATAAGGGAGTGAGTGAAATCGGTTGCGTACACGACGAACGTACCAAATGATATAGAGTGGAGAATGAGCGCCACGGTTCACGCTGTTTTTTGTTGAGAACACAAGCTCGTTGAGCTTTTGGAAGTACGAAGACCGCTTTTCGATGGCACTTATCAGCTCGATTGCCTGTAAAGGAATTCGTATTAATGAAGGGCTGCATTTGGATTAAATATCCCTTGTTACCTCGTAAATGGTCATGATACGGCGATCCCATTCCAAATTCGCGTAACCTATTTCTCTGAAAACCTCCTCCGCAAGCTGCAAGAACTTTGTAAACGTTTGCGTATTGTACTGGACCTGAAACAAAGATTAGCATGGTTCCAGTATTTAAGCTGACATGGTATTCAGAGTTTCTGGAGGAGAACAGATAGTCGTCCCGTGAAGAAAGAAGTTTTCTCCGAAGCCCTGCAGTAAGAACCTTTGGCTTGATCGAATTCAGGATGCCGTCAATAACTTCCTTTGCGACCGTTTCGGCCCTAAGTCATGTGAGCTGCATTTCGTGGACGAAACATACTTCCTTCTTTCGAGCAAGGCCTCAACGCTATCCCTCTTTTCTTTGAACAAGTCAGGTTCGATAGCGATGCCCTGCAGGTTGATAGAATGCGGTGGTAGATTGGTCTGGTTGGGTTTGGTTTGGAGAACCCATTGCTCCGCAAAAATCTGATAAGTGAAGGTAAGTACAAAAGAATGGTATAAGGGTACAGAGAACACAGAAAGAACCTTACCCCAGGCCTGGCCGATTTGAAAACGATTTTGAAGTCGAAAGCAGATCCGGGTAGGATGACGCCATGCTTGTGGGAAAAGTAGAAGCGCTGGATTCCATCGTACACACTTTTAACCTACTCCTTTGTATTAGAACGGTGAAAATGAAGCATACTAACCTTCAAACCGTTCTCCTTCACCGCTCGTACCCACTCAAAATGCACCGCCGTCGGCCCGCAGTTGTGCACCGTTAAGACCGATGTTGAAACCTCGTCCAGAAGCACAAAGAATGACATGTGGGAAGCTGCCATGGCTAGTTTTACCTCCGCCTTGGGCTCTACCTCCGCCACCTGCCCAGGAGCGCCTTCCGCCATTTCCTCCTCTTTCTTGAGTAAGGCATCGATTTCGGGGAATAGCGGGTCCCGCTCAATGGGCGGGATGGGCTGATGGGGTGAGATGGCTTTGGGGAGATTGTTCGGGCGTCGCTCGTAGAGGCTGATGCGGCGGACTGGGCTGCTGGGTTTGGACTTTTTTGGGCCGTCCACGACGGACGCGGACGTCTGAGGCTTTGGAGGAGATGGTGAGGGTGGGACTGGGGGCGGTTTTGCCTCTGCGGAAGCCTCGTGAGAAGCTACGACTTGCTCAGACTCGGCCGGCAGGATTTGGTCAAAGGGCTTGCTGGCGCGGCGAGAGCGCTCTTCGAGCCGTTGGAGGTACGCGACGGTCAGACTTTCCAGGTAGTTATTGGAAACGCTGTGGCCGACAACTTCCATGTACTGGCCGATTTCTGCGTTTTGCGTTTTGTCTTTCTGGATGTCTTTCTGATCATGTTAGTCCTCCTTTGCACCACACCTCACCAAGATGAAAGGATCCATGTTCTTAACTATATCAAAAAGCTCATGTTTTCTTTCCAGCCGGTAACTATTTGCCTTTGACTTTGTGTTATAGCTATTAAGGATTAGAACTACGGGAAGAGCTGCATATTACTGCTTGCTTTCCTTTGTCACCACTCGCTCGATTCTGGAAAATAAGAGTGTCAATTAGCGTCTAAGTTTTGATAGCTTACTCTCGGTGTCCTCCCATTGGCATGGTGACCATAAGCCCCAGCAAGTCATTTCCTATCCGAATACCTCGCCCCCAAAACTCAATGTCCCTGTGCTCCAGCAACGCCATCGCCTCTTCCACCAAGGCTTGCTCTTCCAGCCTCTCTCTAAATTCGCCCAACTGACACATCAGCAGATGCTCGGGCTGTTTCTTCGTCTGCTTCGCCAGTTCCCTCTCCATCTTTGCCCACTCAACGCTATGCCGCTTCCAATTCCTTAAGGCGTGCTCCTCGCGCATCTCGCGGTAGCGCTGAAAGATATGTAACCGGTTCATGAATCGCTTCCGCTCCTCTCGTTTTCGGGCCTCCATTTCTTCCTCTGGCAGGACCTTCTTGTTACTGGCGTTCGTGATCTCGGCCTCCAGGAGCGCAGTCTCGGCAGCGACAGCCGCAGCGGCGTCGGCGGATCCTTCGGGACCGA